TTTTGGTGGGGGGGGGGTCAATTGCAGGCTTCATTAGACAAATTCCTGCTCTGCCATCCTGCAGCTCTGGCCATCTCTGTCCTCATGCTGATGCATTTCAGCTTGCTTGAGTGCCAGATTTACCCCTTTCTTTGCCTTGATTGAATAGTTTTCTAGTAGCTGAGTAAGCTAAAATGGTTCTGTTCCAGGTCACACAAACTACAGTGCTGGCAGAAGATATAATAGGGAAGATTATGCAGCTGGCAAAGGAAAGGAGTGTGGGACTGTGAGGCCAGGGATTGGGATAAGACTATGGAAATGCAGCACCAGCCCTGCATCTTGTCACTGCACTTCTGAAGTAGCTCTGGCACCTTGTGAGCAGGTAGAAAGAAGTATCCCTTCAGTTCCTGTTTTACTAAAAATGGCAGTCATGAGTGTCAGGTGTAGGACTTCAATTCGTTTTGCATGAGCTGAAAATTCAAGAAATGTGGCATGCAGAGAATATGGGAATGCACATGAACAGCCAGGTCTGCATATCATTCTTCTCCTCCTAAAATTCAGTAATGCAAACTGCATGTGTTCTTCATTAATTTAATTCATGATCTTATCCGATGAGTATCAAATAATGAACACTCTTAAATCTTGTAAGGTGACCCCTCTTCAGCGTTTATCAGACTTCCAGAGCAGAAAGTCTGATTATTCAGTGTCCTGTGATGGATCTGTGTTTTGGAAGAACCGCAACAAGCGGAAGTTGTCAGAACTACCGATACATCAGGTGGAGGAGGAACCGAGATGAAGGAGCAAACCCATCTTCTGAGCAGATCTGTGTTTGCTCAGAACATCTTTGTAGCTCTCTTGGAGATCATTCTTGGAGAGTTGTGTGGCTCAACGAACAGTTCTCTTTTTCCCCAATATGCATTGCATCAAAAGAGTAAAAACTGTAAGGCCTTTTGCAGTGAGTTCAGGTTGTTCCAACTTTCCTGATTGTCTTGATCTATTTTTTTTCCTTTGTTTCTACATAGACTTAGATGTAACTTTGATATTGGACCTTAAAAATAGGGGGGAAATTAGAGGAGAAATCATTGTGTGCAGTATTTTTGTGAAAGAAAATAATCTGATTTCTCAGAACTTAGAGCAGAAGAACCGTATGAACAGAAAAAAAGACACTTAGCTACGCAGGTTTTAAGATGGTCCTGGCACAAAGAAAGGAGGCAAACAAAAAGCTAGTTGAAAGCATTAGTTAAATAGCTTCTCTGTACAGTCCCCATTAACCTTCCCCTGATAAGATAGAGAAGCTTCAGTATCCAGCACATATGGACAGATTAACATACAAAGTTCCTGGTGGCCCTTCTGCTCTTTTTCTCTGAGGCAGACTTCATAAACATTTCATTTTCCAACTGTTTTATTTTGAGTAATACTAGCTTAATGTCCTTGTTTTAAATAGTTTGATGGGCTTTCCGCACTGTACAATTTCATATCTTAGAGTGGTTGGAGCATATAAAGTGTCTCTGGGAAGCGTACAGTTCTTGCTTACAAGGTGTGTAACCCATATGTAATGGGTTAGTTTCCTCTTTTTGCAAGTATTGTGCTTCTGAAGCACCCCCAATTGTAAAGGGAAGAGAGTAGGAAAGCGTCTCTTTTTCAGGTTGACAGGCGACCTAAGGATTAAATAAATGAAATTAGAAAACGCTACATGTTGTAGAGGTCAAAAAGGCCCAGATTGGTAGTGGTGAGTCGATGGTTGGAGGACAAGGAGACCGGAACAAGGTTTTAGGCATTTTTAAAAATAAGTTTGTGCTTTTGTATCAGAGTTGAAGATGGAAAGGAAGGTAGTAAATGCTGAACTTATCACATTGAGCTGTATTACACAATCATTATAAGTTTTTGAATAAGGGTAAGCTAACATCTTAAGGATTTTAAGTTTGAAACTATGAAGATTGTGTGAAAAGAAAAAGAAAAAATGAGGTGTGAAGAAATAAAAAAAAGAGTGTCATCAAACAATCTTCTATTGATTACTGTCTTTCTGAGTTTGTATTTCTATCTACAGGCATATAGCTTAATGTATAATCATGTTAATCATCTCAGTTTCTTTCAGTGTTTTAAATTCTCTGTTACTTTGCATTTTTGGTTGTGTCTCACTGCATATTTGCTGTTCTAATTAATTTGTTCTCAGACTGCTTCCTTTTAAGACAGGCATATTATGAAATTTTTAATTTGCTGCCTTTTTATCTTTTGACACCTGCTGCAGAAATTCTAGCAACTTTTTTTTTCCATTTGTTTTTTTAAGAGGTTTCTTAACATTTTAATATAATTCTCTTTTTATGATTATTTTTACTTGTAAACTCAAAAGTAATCAGCTTATATTTAGTATTTTGTCATAGACTACTGCATGCCTTTATCTGCTTCTTTATAAGAAAAAATGCCTTTTCCTCCTAAAATCAGTGACCTACTTGAGTATAGAACTGGGCCACAAAGAAGCTAAAATAAGCATTCACTCTTAAAAAATAAACGTGTAAAATTGGTGTTAATTTCCTCATTTTTTTAATATCTTAGTCTTAAGAATTTATACTTTTTTTAAATTGCTCATTCTTTTTATCAATCTTGGGTATAGGCAGTTCTGTTTACAGAACAGTTTTTCATATTTCTTGAACTTAAATAATCACTTTTCATTTTTTTATTTGCCAGTTTTCTACTTAAATTATGTGTAGTGTTCTTTTTAAATCAGTGTCAACTGCGAGAGAGTTACTAACGGTTGTTTCTCTGTTATTCTTTAGTTTTAAAAACTTTCAGTCCTTTTTTTTGCTAGTGAAATAACTTGCACTTAAAACACCCCCCAAATGCACTCTTTTTTTCCTGTAAAATAGAGGTCCCATGATAATGTATATAGTGTTATAATTTGCTACAATTATAGGGTAATATCTTTATTTAAAACATAAATATGAACAATATTTCTGCATTTTACAGAAGGTATGTAGTGGGCGTGTGTTTCAATTTTCAGGCCAAGTGACTGCAGCTGAGATGCTGGGTTACTTGCTGAGGGCTTTACAAAGAATTTCGAGAGCCTGCCGGTGTTAGGTAGTGGGCTGCACAACGGGAGAGCAGTATGAAGTGGCAGGAACTGCATCCACTCACTGCTCGATGCCTTCGTGGAGACAGTGTGAAAATTTCTGGGGTTGAGGTGAGCTAGTGAGTGTCAACGATCAAAGGACTCGAGGAGAGGGAAGGAGACCTGACAGCTGGCAGGAGCTTAGGGGAGAGGAACATCTGGGGCGTCCTGGTTACAGAATGGGTTACAGATGCCTTTTTTTTTTTTTTTTTTTTTTAGCAAACTCTTCCCTCCTTTCAATTCAGGGACCTGCCTCCATCAAACTACGCATGTCCAATTTGTGTGTTCTTTTGCTTTCAGTCTCAATTTTGAGCCTACCACCTGTGCCATAGCTTTGAATCCTAAACTAATGATATTTCAGTGATTTAAGAAATTTCTTGGATGTGAATCCTGTCACCCTGAGGTGGAACTGACACAGTAAGGACAGGGTAAAGTGGTTATCTCTGACTCTGATTGCAACTAACAAGATTTGGTGAATCTTTCTGAAACGTCTGAAAAACTATTGTAATTTATAGCTGAGATTCTTCACACTACAAGGTCGTGCTGTTCCTGTTCTTTACTGTTATGGCTGACGTGGTAGATCGATAAGTATTTTTACTTTTCTGGGTAATTCTGGATGTATTTTGGGAACTGCAAAATTTTTGGTATTTGCTGAATATTTTGATACATGTTACTGTAAGATATTGTTAATAAATTCAATTTGCAAGTAAGAAAATAATTGTTTGAATTTATCAGGGTATTCCTTCTACTTAAAGTATACTAGTCGTTTATAAACAGGGATATTGAGTTACTTTCTTAATGTCAAGAAGACTCACAGAAAAAATTGTCTCTGCTCATGCACTTTCTTAAACTTTAGATTTAATATTTCCTCAGTACAGTATTACAATGCAGGCTAATACATCTCTCTCTTATTTTATAGTTTGGGAATACATGCTACTGCAATTCAGTTCTTCAGGCACTTTATTTCTGTCGCCCATTTCGAGACAAAGTCTTAGCGTACAAGAGTCAACCAAGAAAAAAAGAGAATCTCCTAACGTGCTTAGCTGATCTCTTCCACAGTATAGCCACCCAGAAGAAAAAAGTTGGAGTAATACCTCCCAAGAAATTTATAACAAGATTACGAAAAGAAAATGGTAATATTTTTCTTTTTTTCTCCATGTAATATCAATTGTGATTTAGTAATGAAGTTGACGTAATGGAACAATTCACCTATGTGTTTGCTAAGCATGAGCATTCTTGGTGCTGCAGTAAAAGAGAAGAGTTGGCCCTAGAGGAAGGACATAGACCATTTCAAGCCATTTTGACTGAGAATCATCATCTCTCTTCTTATAGAGCAGAATAGTGTCAGTGGCAACTTCTGAAATTGCTTGTTAATTTTGCCCCTGTAAGATCTGTACTTTTATAATCAAAATTCACTTTAATGTTTTCGATCTGTATTTAAGAAAAAACATTGTTCTTTGAATGTAGATACTAGTTTCCCACATTGTATGTGTGGAAAGGACAATATGATGCCAGTGCAAGAATATAGCTTTTAAAAACAAACTTTTTTTTTGTTTAATTTAATGAGGATTTATGTAATACTTAATTTGACTAGCTTTTCTTTTTCTTAAATAATGTGCTTTAAAAGCAGGAAGTGGTTTCAGTTAACTTCTAGTGTTATGGATATCTCAGGTATCTAGAGTTCCACAGATTTTTACTGTTTCTTTGTTTATTTTTGCTTATATTAGCTAAGTATTGATAAGTGTTTATTGATTTAAGCGTTTTAGAAAATAATTCTATATTAAAATTCAAATTCTGTAATCTGCTACTTGATTTGGGTACCTTTAAATTATAACACAAAATTTACAAAAAAAAGTAGCCATGTATAGTAGCCAGTATAAGGTAGCATATTTTTCACTTCTGCAATAAAAAATGTTCATACTATAGTAATCTCTCTGAGAGCGTATATTCAGACTGAAAAAAAAATGTTAGGATGGCCATCTCTATAAGTAAAAACAAACTATTACAATTCTATACCTGATTTTAAGTGCTCCCCCATAAAATATAGTCCATGAATACTCATAAGTGACATTAGGCAGTGTTAAGAAAGCTTTAATTTGATTCTGCAGTCCCTTACCTATGCAGATTAGAAGTCTGCCATTCAGTAAATATAGTTGAATTTTGATGCATTTACAGAATAAATTAATCATATTAAATATTGCTAACCTCAGCCAGACTTGGGGTCATTTCAAATAGCAAGTAGAAAGTAAAACACAGGAGCCATTAAGTTCTTTTTAGGAAAAAAAAAATAAATTAATGCTTATTTATGTCACAATACTAGAATTCTAGGCAGGAAAAGGTGATTGGAAAATCTTTATGATTGGAGATCAGATGTGAAAGTTCAGCTGCTATTGACTTTTTACATCTATTTTAGTGATGATAATCTCACTTCTTACAGAAGTAAATGGCTAAATTTAAAGTTAAGCATAGACACTATATATGCTATTAAGTATTTATCATAAAGATATGTAATTTTGTGCTGTGAATAAGAGCTAGTTTACAAAAGAAATACAGTGGCCATTCAGGACCTTTGAACATTTCCAAAGTCTGAGTCCAGTTTATGTTCATTAATGATCTTAAGCCTAGCCTGCTACAATGCAGTTTTAAGTCAGCTCAAGGCATACGGTTATGCCTGCTTAAAAGTCTTCTCATTATAAAATGAACAGTAACAAGGTCACATGTGGAATTATTCTGTTGTACTTTGTGTCAGTTTACTTCCTGGGCACATAGTCCTGAAGAACTTCTGAAGTAAGTGTTTTACCTCAAGGGACTTGCAGCTCTTGTTTTATTTATTCAGTTAAATAGGGGTATGACAGCGGGTTAGATTCAGAATTAATTATTATTCAGGCATGGTGAAGGCAGTATAGTGGAGTCCAACAGTAAGAGAAGTGTTACATATTTCTACATCTATTTGAGATGGCCTGTTCTGTCCAAGAGATTGACCTAGGCTCGGCTGACATGATGCTCATATGATCCAACTTAGTAGGGACTGACATCTGGAGGCCGGACTGGATAAGCTAGACACGTCAGATAGCACTGTACATTTAGGTAGTTGAATCATGCCCTAGTTTTCTTGCAGAATGGTTTGCTGGTAATTCTTCTGAGTTGAGATACTGCTGTAAACATGAGCTATGTTTTTCCCCTCTCATTCTGTATTTTTTCTTAGTTCGTGAAGTGCTCCTCGTAGGATGGTGTTGGATGTCGTGTATGATTCAAAGCCTGAAATAGACTGGTTGTTTTTGAAAGTTTTTTTTTTGCATTATAGTACTAACACACTAATTTAAAATTTGCATTATTTTGTAGAACTTTTTGATAACTACATGCAGCAGGATGCACATGAGTTCTTAAACTATTTATTAAATACAATTGCGGATATCTTGCAAGAGGAAAGAAAACAAGAGAAACAAAATGGTCGCCTACCTAATGGCAGCATCGACAACGAAAATAACAGCCCACCAGACCCAACCTGGGTTCATGAAATATTTCAGGGAACCTTAACGAATGAAACTAGATGTCTTACTTGTGAAACTGTAAGTGTTTATTTACTCTATAAAACAAATTCTTAATGTTTTCTCAGGAAACTAATATATTACACTGATATTTTTTTCCTTTGGAAATCTTATGTTTGTATGAACATTTGTGGGATTTTTTTCTTTGTCGTTAAGAATATTTCAACAGCCAATGCATGAGTTCTAGGAAAAGGCTATTGGTCACCTATTAGGAAAATTACCTGTTGAATTTTGTCGGTGTGGTCATGATCAACTTCAAAAATTAGATTAGAATTGATGCATTTCTAAAAGCAATGAAGCCTGATATTTTCTGGTACGGAGGTTTGTGCGGCTTTTTCTTTTTTCTCCAGACTTACTGTCTTAATGTCAGGCTTAGTCATACTTTTCAGAAATAGGTATTCTGAAGCAGTTTGCGCAGATTTCTAGTTTTTATATTACACAACGAAATCAACGTCCTTTGCTTTTGGCTTTGAGACGTTAGACTGAGGTTTGCAAAGAATGTGGTCTTGGTTTACGAAAAGTAATTATTTCTCAGACTTCTCTCCACCGGAGTTCTTCTACTGCTATAGTATAAGAAATAAAAGCCCATTTTGAAAAATAGCTATCTGAAAATTTTCTTTGAAGAGAGTTCCACATAAGAAAACACATGTATTTCAGAAAAACTTATCATTGAATTTTACCTGCTTGAGAAAGATAAAAAGCAGCACAATCTGAAAATTATAGTAATTGCTTTGTGGTCTGTGCTTTAGATAGTGTAGAGAGCTAAATGTATGGCTCTTCATATCTATTTTCTTATCAAAATTAGATAACACACATATTTCAGTGTGATGTTGGAAGTGTCGAATTAGTCAGAATAAATCTATGTATTTCATATGTCTTTTCGTCTGACTTAGAGAAACTCCCTTTTATGTTAAATAAAATAGCTTTTTAATGTCATAGGTAATGCAACTGCAGACTTCAACTAGACTGCTGTATTTTAGATCCTGATTTCTAACTATAATCTATTTTTTTCCCTCTGGTAGGTTTTTTCCATCCTCTTTAATAATTATTTTATAGAGGCTGCCATTTGCTTCTCTTTTTAGCTCTTGAACTGAATCTGTTCTTTTGTTTGTTTTTTCTTGAAACATGAATTTACCTTAGTCTGCAATCAGTGCTTTTCCTTGCTGCGTCAAAGGGAATTCCTGCTATCAGACTTGATCTAGGTGCAGTCCTTAATGCAATTTCAAAATGCTGACATGCTCTTCAACAACATTCTTAAAGTTATCAGACCTATCATAATTTTGTCTCTTGATAATGTTGCTCTAGTTTGCAATATTCTGATTTTTTCAGCTCTTGCTAAACAAGATACACAATGTCAATTTATAGCTGTGCCTCTCTGGCCAGTTGCATTTTGAAGAATATTTCAAAACAAAATGTTCTAATGGGCATTATTTTATTAATTATATGTTGGGCTTTTATATTTTAAGCCGTAATAATTCTGAAACTATTTCGTCAGCTTCAATCTATTCACCATATCAGCTTCTGTGTATTCAAAAACCAGCTGTGTGAAAACAGGCACTTAAATACACATTTAGATGCATTAAATGAATAATATTACTGTAAAGTGTTTTATTTTCAAATATAGTATATATGATTATTTTAATGTTTACTGCAAGCTGCTGGTATTTAGAGTCCTTTAGGGTTTAGAGAAGTAACTTAAACTCTCATGAGTAATGGAATATAGCTAATGTAGAGGACTGAAGAGCAATAAAGGTTCAATTAATTCCTTTTAATGATATGTCAATAACTTGTATATTTTTGGTCTAAATGGAATATAATGCTTAATATATTTTAGAAAATAGTATGGAAAATATTATTTATCTGTAGAATACAACATATCTTTTCTCCAAGTGCAAGTGATCATCTTTTAACTGGCCCAAACTACTTGCTGATATTAAAATCAGCACAGCAAGATTTTGTTGTGTTTTCTCTTTTCTGTATTATGGAAAAGGCCTTCTTTCCAGGACACACCATCTCATTAGCCTTTCTTTGATCTGAAAGCTTTAACAGAACATTTAAAGATTCATCTTCCATTTAAAATCTGAATATGGAGGGTAGAATATAAAGAAGGTAGAAATAGTCCTTTAACAAAGATTTATGTCTTGGATCATGCTACACTATAGTGTAAGTTATGAAATGGAAATGACAAGTTGTCTTTACCTGCTGTTAGTGTGATTCCCTGCTATGATGCCTTCCCTTTCCCCATAGAAAGGCAGCGTAATGAGGTAATGTGACTTTGTGGCTAACTGATAAAAAAAGTTATCCAGCAGTTCATTGGTCTTATAAAGATTTCCTTCAGGGTTTAAGGGAAGAGTAATTGTAAACCAGAAAATTATATGATTGACTTGATTAAAATTAAATCTTAATAATTGAAATAGCTAAATTTTGGGAGTACTTGAACCAAAAAGGCAGAAGTGGCCTTAGATCAGAAGTATCAAACTGATACACAGAATGTTTGTCTTCAGCTGATGGTCTTGTTATAGTTTTAAGACAACTTGTCAAAGCATCTATTTCCACTTTATCTTAGTTCTACTTCAAAGAACTTGGAGAGGGCAATAAGAATCTCCATGGTTTCTCTTATGAGTACCATAGAGGAACTTTGTACCATGGAGAACTTTGTCCTCTTTCTCCTCCTTCTCTTTTTTAAACCCAAGCTAAAGCATACCCTTTGTTTCAGCTTCATTTTAAAAATCATTTCTTAGGATCCATGAAATCCATAGGAGTTAAAAAAAGCTTCCCCTCCAGTCCAAAAGAAATTTGGCCTCCGTGAGCGTTGACCTTCTGTGCTTTGTGCTCTGTGTGGCCTCGTTCATCAGGCTGCACGTGAGCTGTCCAAGTGCAGACCTACATCCATGAGATCTGGACAACATTATCTGCTGCAGGCAGAGTGCTGGGTCACCCAAATTCTTCATTTTTATTCAGATGCTCAGACTATATTTGGAGAATCATGTGGCTTTCTGGACACATAAGGGCTTGATTCTGCAAGTGATGAGGTTCCCAAACTGTCCCTTTTTTTGTCATCATATCAATAATTGCAATTATAGCATTGGACATTAATCAATTCTAGCCTAAGGAGCTTCCAATGGTATCTACTTGAAGCAACTTTTAGACAAGAGTTTTTGTTTGTTCCTAAGAGAGGCTGTCTTTTAATCTAAAACTGTTGGAAAAGTTAATCTATTTTATTTCAAATGCCAGTATCAGAATCATCCTGAAAAATAAATAGCAATTTCTAAATTAGCAATATCTAAATTATTTATGGAAAGACTCCACTCAGGGATTCTTCTTTCAATAGAACTTTTGATGGTTCTTAATTATCCTAAATATTCAGTGGACTGGTAAACCAGTTCCCGAAGGCAGCGTTAACAATGTTATCATTTTTAATGGAAAAATTTGTATTGTAAACTGCTCGTTTTGGTACTAATTTCCTTTTTAATCAACTGAGCACATCCTATCATCTTCTCTGCTCCCCACTCCTTCTCCAGAATCAAAGTGTGATAAAAATGTCTATGAATTTTTTTACTCTTCTATGGATTTTTTTTTGATTAGCCTAAGAAAGAAAGAGGTATCTAACTGCGTGTCTGAATAACACTGATCACAGGACTCCCTAATTCCAGCCGAAGGCTGCAGCAGTCTTTTCTAGACCTCCTGATCCTTTCTGAGCTGTGGTAAATCCCTAGATAAAGATGATTTTTCAGTCAGACTTTCTTATGTTGTTTATGTTTTCTATGTTTTATGTTTATGTTTGAAGAATTGCTTGTCTTCATATGCCTAAATAATAGGACATCGTCAAAGAAATGAAAAGATGAGAATGGCAGGCTGAAGATGCAGGTGACCTATAAAGATCTCGGACATCTTCATGGATGTCCTGTGATGCCTTTAGAAGACTAACTGTTGCACTTTAGCATTTAAGTGATGCACTAGAAGTGATGTGTGCTGGGCTACTGGCAGGCTTTCTGTACGCATAATCTGGCAATTTAGCTGCAGAAGAGTGGGAGAAATCTTCCCTAGTCTGATTACAGAAGTTAGCAGAAACTTTTCTAACTTTCTGGATTTGCCCAGTGATGATAATTCGCAAAAGTAGTTGTCTGAACACTTTTTATTTGTTTTTCTCTGTGAATGCTGCCTTTAGTAAGTGCATGCTTTTAACCTCTTCATAAGCAAAGAATAGCGTTTCAAGTATGCCTTTGTTTTAAGTTGAAAAGGGAACTTAAATCTCATATGTCTTAAAGATGAACTTACATTCATTTTCCTGGAGCAGCTGTTTCATTTCTGCCCTTTTCATCAAGAAATAGCAGACAAGCATCTTTGGAAATTCTCCTTTGCTTCTAGGGTTTTCTTTTGGAAATTGATTAAGTTCCCAGCTCTCATTTACTGACAAATTTGCTTTCTGTTGCTTATTTAAGGGCATGATGATTCTAGCACTCATGTTCTGAAGCCTGATTCTGGCTATGTTTTAAGGACACTTAGTAGGCAAATATGTATCTTCTGGTAAGAGGAAACGATAGGGGAAGAACCGGGGTGAGAGCTCTACAGAGAAGAGTCCCAGTGATAGTATTCCTTTCAAAAGAGTGAGGTAGAGAAGGAACTTGACCTTAATGTTAATGAGCTGAAATTGCAACAAAATGACAAGTGAGATTATATTCCCCCCACAGACACATGTTCCTATTCCATCTTCCTATTTCCAAACAAAATTTTAGAGATCTGGCAATATTAATAAAAACAAAGCCACGTGTGACAATTTGTTTGAAGGCTATTCTACGGAAAAAAGATTACTCCTTACTCAGAAAGTAAGTGCTACTGAAAAACTGAGGTAAATTAATATAACTAATTTTATCTGTAATATGTTGGACTTTTTTTCCCCCCCTACAGATAAGCAGTAAAGATGAAGACTTCTTAGACCTTTCAGTTGATGTGGAGCAAAATACTTCCATCACTCATTGTTTAAGGTAGATACAGAAATCTGTACTTTCTTAATTTGTCTTTCATCTTTTACCAGATAAAAGCAAGAAGTAAAGATAAAAGCTCATGTTCATTTGACTTAACAAATGTTTGGCTTATGTAGACTAGAATGTAAAAATTATGCTTGTATCTTTTTTCAAATGGTGGTATGTTTCAAATAAGAAACTAGTATCTATAGCTTTTCTTGTATTTTTTTTACTCTCAGGGGTTTCAGCAATACAGAAACTCTGTGCAGTGAATACAAATATTACTGTGAAGAGTGTCGCAGTAAGCAAGAAGCACATAAAAGGTACCTCAAACTGGAAAAAATCCCTCCTTTAAATAACTCTTGCATTTCCTTGTGTGGGTGTATTTTGGGCAGAGAAGAGGGAGGGTTCTTTGTCCCTTAATTGTCTCCATTCTTCTACTAAAGAGTAACTTGATAGCATTCCTTGTGCTTGAATTCAATGAGCCTGCTTGCAAGATTAATTAAAATACACCTAAAGCATTTTGGGAAGCCTTTGATTACATTTTGTTTTAAGAAGGAGAAATAAAATGATCTTAAGCCCCAAAACAGATAAAAGATAAAAAAAAAACAGCACAAAAAATAACAGTAACTAATCAAAGGTTATGGGTAATGATGCAAAAGCAATGATTACATGGATCTTTTAAAAGTTTGTTTTTCACTAAATTATATAAAACGGATTTCACAGAAATTTGTTAAGAAACACTGATAGACTAAACAGATTAAAGCAAATTGCTTTAAGCTCTTGCTGTGAGATAGATTCATAGTGATCCAGTCAGAATGCAGCTCTAATTTTACATTTTATGTTAACTGAGTTTCTGCTATCTTGAAAGTGCATAATTAGGTGTGCTAAACTTCTGCTTGCCAATGCATCTAAAGAGCAGCAGAAGCTCCATGAAAGCCTGGCACACTTTTTCCCACATATTTCTTGTATGTCTAATACTGCTTCTCTTGTTTACAAGCTCTGATTTTGTGCGCTGTGCTGTATTTATTATCTGAGGAGGTATTTGTCTGCTTGTGATTGAGCTGAAGGGATGGGAACGTTGACATGCTGTACTGGTTATACCACTGATTTCACGTACGTGGTTTACCGTAGATTAAACACGTGGCTTTTGGCATCTCTCTTCTGCAAAGTCTGCCTTGCCACGTTACCTAAGCTTACTAACTGGTGTGTATTGGAGAGTTGCAAGGTCAGGTCTGTCCTGTTTTCTGTTGGCTTAGCTCTTTTGGTTGAGGATCCCATTACCTCCCACACAGCAGTGTAAGGTGTGTTGGCACAAACCTGTGCTGTAGGAGCTGGTCTATTGGCAAAACACAGCCTTTATTGTTTGTAATTTCTTTTTCATATGGTGTTTAGGTTGGGTTGCACGATATTGACGATTTTCTGCCATTTCTATAATATGAAGTTTATCTCATTTAATGAGGGAAAAGGAAAGAAACGGAGTTTCCAAGGCTTTTATCCCCAGCCACTTCTGTCTTGAAAAAACATTGCCATGCAGACATCTTGCATGGTCTTAGTGCACGTCTGAGCCCTCCACTGGGCCGTGTTGTTGAGACTTGGGAGCTGTCCCTTGGCACAGAAGGCAGTTAGACAAATTCAGGTCACTGCTGCTCGAGGCAATTAGCTGTGCCAGGAAGCAGAGCGCTCTAGTCTGAGGGCTGCACTGGCGCAGGCGGCTTTATCGTGCCGGGAGCAGAACTCGGTATTCACAGCCTCGCGGGGACCTGTGGGCACTGAGGTGCCATCTCAGTGTCTCAAATTAGGGAAAGGGACTAGTGAACCCTCAATAAAGCTTGATCCACACTTCCTAGTTATTACTTCCGTAAAATAATAGTCCAACGGACTTACAGAGCTGCTGTGCTAGAGCCTAACGTTATCTCGTTTGGGTGAGTAACAGAATGCTATTTGCATCCCTTAGCAATATTAAATGAATGGCTTGATATAAAAACTTACAGTAGTGTGTGTAGCAAAATGGTGTTGGTTACTTTCTGATGCTTGTTTGACTTGGCCGCTTTACTAGGAAATTGAGATGGAACTGGAACTCTGAAACAACGTGGTTGCAGTACCTCTGCTGTAAAGCACAGGGGATGTTGGCTTTGCTGTGGGGTCCTCGGGAAAGCAAAGGGAATGTATGTTTGAAAATTGAATTCTGTGTTAGGTAGCCATAATTCCTAGCTTCCTGAGTGCATTGATCACAGCTATTTTTAGCTTATTTTCTAAATATGTTTGCAGTTCTCTGAGTTGTTAAAATCTACTCTTGGTTTAAGTAACAGAGCAAACAGCTGATAGCTTTGCAACATAGGACACGTTTGGTATTTGTTAAACAGGTGATCACACGAGCATCTTTTTTAATCCTTGCACAATTGCTTAGCATTTAGTAGATGAGATTTCTGTTTGTCAAGATCAGCACTTTCACTAGATATTGGATTTTTTTTTTTTTTTAATTTCAGGATGAAAGTAAAAAAGCTGCCTATGATTCTAGCTCTCCACTTGAAGAGATTTAAATACATGGATCAGTTGCATCGATACACAAAGCTCTCTTACAGAGTAGTTTTTCCTTTAGAGCTTCGTTTATTTAACACCTCAGGAGACGCCACCAATCCTGACAGAATGTATGACCTTGTTGCTGTGGTAGTTCATTGTGGAAGGTGAGAACAGTGTATTTCACACAAAGAATCTTTGTATGAGCTTTAACTGCATTAAAAAAAATCTTTTAACATCATTTAAAACTCTCTTAAAAACAGAAAACTACTAGGAAGGAAAACCATGTAGAACAGATGTTCCTTTATAAAGTATATCCTTTAATATTTTTCTTTTACTTTTCTGAAGTGAGACTTTTGTTGAATAGTTTTCTTTTCTTGCTTAAAAAGCATGACTGTTAGATTTGTATTAGACTTGGTTATATTCAACAAATGTTTTTGTTGTTTTAATAATCAGTGCTGCAGTGTAAACTACTTACTGAGTAGATTTGAAAAAAAAAAAAAGTTAAGTGGGGAATGATTTAACATCTCAAATCATTTTTCTTTGGAATGTCAACTACTTCAACCTCAAAGCAACTCTAACTTGGACATTAGATTAGGTTGTACAGGATTTTGTCCAGCCAAGTTTCAGAAATGACTAGGGAAGGAGATTTCCCTACTCGGTGGGCTGTGGTTTTCAGTCACCATCAACATTCTCACTGAGGATTTTTTTTTTCCTTATTTCCTTTATTGTTCCCATATCAGTTTGTAACCTCTTCCTTTCGTCCTTTCCATGTGCATTTCTGAACTCTGCCAGGCTGTTTTCTTTAAAACCCCTCCTTTTTAGGGGTTCCTCTTGATCACAGGCCCCTTTTTTCAGAGCTGCTGTGAAGCCGCTTGGTTTCCAGTCTGTGTTGTTGCATGGATTTATTTGGGTACAAGACTTGGCATTCGTTGAACTTCGTGACTATTCACATTCCTTATGACCAGTCACACCATTCTTCTAGCTTTTTGAGATCCCTCAAAATGGACATGTACATGTAGATGTTGCTCTCAGATGGTAGCCTTCCCACCCCAAACTAGGCATAAGGACTGCAGGAGTGCCATTAGCTACAGCAGTTCCAAAACTCTTTAGCATTTGTCCACTTTCAGAGCTAGCTGAACCCTACAACTGAAGCTGCATTATTTCCTTGACTGAAATCTGATTACGTTATACGTTAAGATACGTTTTTTAATGTAATAGTCATAGAGAATTTTTTTGTTTATCATAGCCTAAAGCACTGTGTGTTAGAAGTGTTTGAATTTAATTGTGAGCCCTTCTCTTTGCTGTAAGAATCCTCCAGTCTTCTGAGCTGTCAGTTTAATTCGGTTTTCCTTTAGAGTGGAGTTGTTTTTGCTTGTCTACACATCAGTTATAGTGATTCCTGATTGAAATTGTAGATGAACAGCAGCTCTGCCTGTTTTTCTTCACAAAGATAAGAAATGGCTTGGAATTTAGTTTTCCTTTTGTAACATCAGAATGTTTTCTTGATTTTCTTTTTTTCTCTCTTTCTCACTTGCTCTTTGCTTTTGTTATAAATTTCATTTATACTTTCAATGCCTGTGTGCTGCTCATTCCTCATTTGAAACTGCCTCTTTTAAAGCCCAGTATTAAATGTAGTGATAGGTAAGACTCTCCTATGAAGATCATTTAAGTGTGGGGGGGAAATAGAGGAAAGAAACATGCAAACAGAAACCATACTGGTATCTATTTTAGTTATTGCTAAATGTTTCTTTTCTACAAGAAAGAACACTTTAATGAAATACATTTGTACATACATATGTGTTGTGACTCATGCTTTTATTTTATTTTATAGCGGCCCTAATAGAGGACATTATATTGCAATAGTGAAGAGTCATGATTTTTGGTTGCTTTTCGATGATGATATCGTAGAGGTAAGCTTTGTAACCATGGCCTTTCTTCCCCAGCTCTACTAACCAGAGCACATGTATGCCCCATGCATGTGTGATTCCTTGAAGTAAGAGGACTGGTGTAATAGTGAGAGGAGGTTCAGCCACGGTGTGAGCAAGTGGTATCTGTGAGGGCAGAGGTGCACCTTCTGGTGCACTTTGGTTTTGTGCTTCTTGAGTGAAGTTTCTGTGTTTTAGCCAGCCTCTTTCTCCTTCATTCAGTAAGCTACTCCTGTGGCCAGAATGTATGGCAAATAATCATAGAGGTAAGCTGAGTTAAACTGAAATGATTTGTTGGAGGAATCACCTATTTATGGTTTTTCTTTTTAGGAGCATATGATTTGAGGTAATAGCTGAATCGCATTGTTCTATCAAATATCTTAGATTGCTTCAGAAAAGGGTAAAAGAAATAGCAAATAGACAGAAGCTTCAGGTTTCTGAGACTTCCCCTTGACACTTAAAAACTAACCCTGGAAGCAGGGCCTTCTGCTTCTGATAATCTCATTAACATTAACATGTTCCCAGATGTTCTTTATTATTTAAAAGGATATTTTGAATGTTTCTAAATCTGTATCAAGAACTTGTAGTAAATTATTTTTAACTAGTTTCTTGGCACAGCAACATTCCCTTCACGAGTTTTAACTTTTGTCATCTTTCAGTTCAATGAGATACCGTTTATTCTTGGAGGGAAAGGGCAGAAACTGCTGGTTTTTTTCTTTCAGGCAGTCCCACATTTTTTTTGCTTATTCTGTCATCTTCCTTCCCCTTCCCTTGTCGATGCTTATGAGTGGGCAGAGGTATGACTGTGTTGTCTAGATTTTTTTTTGTGACCTTATTTAGATTAATTAAACCTGTAAAATGAATATCTTTACAGAAGTACTGTATAATTAAAAAGAAGAAAAATGAGTGAAACAGGAGTTGGACTTAGTGTGTTAACTGGCAGAACAAGTAATCATATTGAGTGGTTCTTCCCTGCCATACTGAGGATGTTCACACAAGAGAAAGCGAAAGGATTGCCTCTGTGTCTCATCAGGATGCACTGCAAATTCAAGTGTGTTCTTTAGGGGCAAAAGTTGGCTTTTCTACAGGGAGAGCAGATAGAGTTGTGCTAAATCTCATATTTCAGAAACGTTAGGGACAATCTGTCCAGTTCTAAGCAATAATCTTTGACAGTGATGCCTTTTTTTTTTTTTCTTAGCTGTTCCAAAGAAAAGGAGAGAGTGTTTTTGCTATTAGATCTAAAGTATCCCACTACCTGTTAGGCACGTGATTGTTCTTTCATTTCAAATATTGGAAGCCTGATGAAATGTGAAGCCTGCTGAAGTGAAGGAAAATTTTGTATTTCTACCTTTTTCTTGTCTGTAGCCTAATTGCCATTGATTTAAAATGCAACAAGAGTTTGCTTTTAGTTTCAGGGTTCTATTTGTTTACAAAGTTTCTGTTTCTTTTTGGTACATTGAGAGTGAAAACCTGTTTCACCTTCTAGTAGCTTTACATCTTTCCCCCAAAACTTGGTTTTAGGAGGCTTTTCAGACTAGTAGGTTCACAGGCAAATGCTGTTTATGACAAACTTCAATGGAATAGTGTTCCAAAGTTTCAATGGAATGTATTTCCTATAAAACTTCCTTTCCTCTGTGTGTGCGGGTTTTTTTGTTTTTTTTTCCCAAGTACTGCAGCTAAAGTTGCATTCATAACAGGTTCATGTAATACTAAAAACATAAATATACCAACTATGGAGTTGATGGGGAGGACCCAAAGCATAAAAGATTTAAGAATTACTTGGATTTTATTAGTTAAACAAGTGAAAGTTGTTTTTGTTGGTATGTTTTTATGTTGATATGTTGATTTGTGTTGTACAGTTGTGGTGATTGTGTTGATACAGTTTTTACGTATGTGTTATACAAGATATTCTTACTTTAAATTTTGGGGTTTTTGCATACAGAAAATCGATGCACAAGCTATTGAAGAATTCTACGGGTTGACATCAGACATCTCAAAGAACTCAGAGTCTGGTTACATCCTCTTCTATCAGTCCCGGGACTGAGCGGGAGCTGCAGAGAAGCGATTTTTATGCCTCGCTTCTTCTCTGACCATCATGGGATGGAGCAAGTGCTGAAGAAAGAAATGCAGGGAGCTCCAGGGGCAGTCGCACAGTTTGCACACAATTAAGCAAAGAATTTGAGATTTTTTTAAAACCTTCATATCATTTTCACTTTATTTGCTCAGGTATCATGTTGACTACACATCTCCACTGCATCCCATAAGCAAAAAGAGATACCAGCCACTCTTGCAGGAGCTTTCAATAGCTGATACTATCTCTGTGGTCCTAATTCAAACCCCATTAACATCACTGGAGGACTTTTCATGAACTTCAGTGGAATTTAAGTCAGGTTCTAACTGCACTGCCAGATTAGTGCAATAGGAGTATTAGAAATCTGATATTTTATACAGACTTCTTGTATAAAAGGTAAAAGACTCTTTGTGAACTTCGTTTCCTGTACTTAAGTTTGAAAGAATGAGGTTGGGAGGGTTAGTATGTAAGCAAGAAGCTATATTTGGGCCCAACAAAATTGCCTTCTTGATGGTAGTAGTTTAACTGAAAATATGAACTGGTGTCAGGGAGGCAAAGTATGTTTTGCTTCTCTGAAGAAGCTTACATTATTTATAATATATGATCGGGAACAATCAGTCAAGATTATGGCTTTTAATCTCCGTATGGGGAAAGATTTGGTTTGTAATAGTTTATTTCTATTTATAAATTATTGTAACTTCTTAGGATCCTGTGTGTTGTCCTTTATTCTAACAAGCATTGGATTTTTTATATATTGATTTGAATTAAAACGAATTATCTTCAAGAGTTTGAAAACAGCCAATATAAATTCTAAAAGCAATGCCTACTATGTCTTTAAATGAGTAACACAGTAGAGAGATTTCCTTCTGGAGCAACTGGTATCTAAGTGTGCTATTTTATTTAATTAAATCAGAATTTTCTCTGTGCATTAAAGGATGGTGCAGTGGTGGTATACTGGTCTTTATAGTTCTTTAATTATTTGTTAATCATTCATACTTTTAAGTAAACTAGAATGACCTGGATCAAAGTAAAGAGTTTACAGAATATTTTTTCCTCTCCATAAAATGGATCCACTTCAGGCAGTGGCATTCTGACTATCTCAAAAAAAAAAAAAAAAAAAAAAAAAAAAAAAAAAAAAAACCCCACCCCACTAATAAGAATAAAAGCTTGGATTTCATGAACCTGAATATACCACATTCCTTTAAAAGTCTTAACAATACTTAGGTCCTGTAGGGTGAATTTTTCTGAAATTAAACAGTTTACCTTGCTTTAGGTTTATGAAACAGCATTAAGAATTAAATCTTGATCCAACACCTGATGTGTACTAAATGTGCATTGCTGTGATTTGACATTCTTCCAGTTACCAGTGATCTTTGTCTGACAGTAGCTGAATGTAATTTCTGGAGACTCACGGGAGTCCCAGGTTATGGCAGCCAGGCCTTGGGTGCCCTTGTCACTCCTTTTCAGCTAGTAGTTTTTTCATTATCATAGTTTTCTGAGGTTATTTTATTGATGCTGTTTAAAGTTTTTTAGAGAATGTCTCCTGTCTGCTGCTATAACTACTTACTTACCTGTATCTTTTAGCTCAGGAAATGACTTCACCTGCACATTCAATTGAACAAATCTTTAACAGGGTCACTAAATAAATTGGGCTATTTAACAGCTGTCATACTGTAACAAATTGCTTTTATAAAATGCAAAATTTCTAAAGCTCTGGCTTGGTTATAATTCTTTTATAGAAATCATGTATCTAATAAAACTACCAGCATTTTAAAGAAAAGCTTGAATACTGTAGGAGATGCGTACAAGTACAACCAATTGGATTGAAAGGATTCCAGTGATTTTAAAACCTTTTTTCAGTTTTCAGTGGAAAAAGGGTTAAAGGGTGAAGCATGTTAAAGGGCATGTTAGAAGGATGAAGTCCTTTGCATACTAAAGGTACAGTATTATAAAATAATTGTCACACTTTTTCCTTTTTTATGTAGTTAAAAGCTGAGTTCAGTAGCTAAATATTTTATACCATAACAATATTCAAAACACTTTTTTTTTCCCACTGGTAGCCACAAGATATTTTGTTTTACTCCCATAATGTATTTTTTATAAAATACAGACTTTTATTTTGTATAGGGATCTTGAGATGGTATTCCAAATGATATACTGCATTTTACTTCCAGGGCAGCTGAGATAACAGTAATTTTGATTAAACTGTTATCACAAACTGCAACTTACTTTTAGAAAGAGTTGGGAGGAAAAAACAATTATAGCTGATTGATATGTAAAGTGTTACAGAATTATTTCTTGATTGTAATACAGTAGGAAGTGTGGAAGGGTTGTCAGTTGTTGTAAATGGTGGAAATAACTTGCTGTGTAACTTTGTAAATGTCAGTTGGGACTGTGGTCCCCTATTTTGTATATTGGAGCAAAAACTTCTATTAAATAAAGTATGTTCTCTAAAGGTAAGTACTGTAGCCTTTGTAGATCCCCCATGCACAGCCAGCTGCTTTTTGGGTTTTACACTACAGCAGTACTAAAAAAGTATCTGGCCTTTCCTGCGCTGAGGTGACTACGCCGAGCCGTGGAGGGGCAGGTGTGTGTGCACACGCTGCATCACGTATTTTACCAGATATTTTGGTATGAGAATCATTCTGCAGCATTCATGTTTTCACTGTGCTGTGCTTCTCTGCAATTAGATTTTAAGTCATTAGTTTCTGAGATGGAGAAGGAGGAGTGTTTTCAAATACAATTCTTTCTTGGCTTTTATTTCCTCAAAAAAAGATACCTTACTGTAAGACACACCTGTGAATTACCTAATGGATTTTTTTGATCCCCTCTTTGGGGGACGGAGGAGGGAAGGAAAGGAGAGGAGAATGCTGTCAGCATTTACACAGGAGAGAGACCGACCGAGGAGTTGAGTCCAGCATCCAGAAGAAAAGATGCAGCTGGATACAGCATCCGTGTACAATTTGGTAGCAGCCATTCTTTACTTGAAACGTACACGACTGTGATTAATATGCACTCTGCTGGTTTTACAAACAGTTTATATCCTGCTGTATGTGTAGTTGGGAAGTCCACATCCGCGGTCTTTGATTGCATGGAAATAGTGAGCTCAGGTAGTGTTCAGGTATGTGGGTGAAGGTTAAAATTAAGTTGTGTTTTCCACAGCCAGTCGTGAATCATATTTGAGTATCAATAGGTGACATTCCGATGTCAGCACAGGGATTTAATGTCCTTTCAGATGTTCTACTGCACCCACAGAAATCCAGCAGGACTGGGAGATACAACACGAGATCCACAGAGACCTTCAGGAGCAGCGCCTGGAAGCCGCACAGGACATCCTGCTGTTCTCCCATGTATCACACACGCAATGTTTGGTGCAAAGGCAGATAAAAGTTCATATTGCTTGCTTACTTTTCTGTGATAAAGTTTGTAAAGCTTCTTCAGTAAGGGAATTATGGAAGTAACTGGAGGCCCCAGGCATTTCAGCTTTTAAACTTCAGTTTTTGTGTTGTTTTCTGCAGTCTCTCGTCTGTAGGTTTAAGATGATTGTGCACGGACTTGTTCTTAAGCTCATCCTTTTAGCTAAAAGAAATTTTAATGTGAAAACTTGGAATTCTCTGCCTTCATTTAACAGAACTTACTAAGATGCATTTCTTCTTACCTTTCTTTGCAGAAATGCATTTTACAAGAAAAATCTTGCCGACTGTATACGGTTAATTTAATAAACAGATCCTTGTAACTTCCTTTCCAACTGCTCATTCAGGATAGCTGTCCCTGAGCATAGTGTATCCACACAGCAGGGATTACAAAAGAACAAGGATGACTTTTTTATTGTATACACAAAATGGCTATTTATACATATGAAGACATGACTTGCTTTCTATTTACTATTAACTCCTGACTTTGTTCAATGACCAGGTTCAGATTGGGCTGCAAGGTTGGCAGTGGGAAATTTTAAAAGCTGTCAGAAATGCATCGATGACTGAGGATGCCAAAAAAGTATGGGGGGTTTTTGGGGGGGTGCTGGAAAGGAGCTTGGTTGGTTGGATGTTAATGTTGCCTGAGAACAGTTGTTTGAAACTAGCTTTCCTCCCGTTTGGTATACGAATATATTACAGCCGCAGGACCTGAATGTCTTTGGTTAACTTTATCTGTAAGAGGAGAAAATTTAATTTCAATAAACATTAATCTGTGGGTTGCAGTATCACATTGCAGATACTTATTATGACTTTGTTTAAATATTTAAATAATCTAGATATGGTTTATGCACTCTGTGAGAGTGGCTTTACAGTCTAAGATGTTCACTGTTTCCCCCTTGTTTGTCTGGGTTGTTTTTAAGGTTTCATGTTTTATAAATTCAGTCTTTTCCTCCCCTCTAACACAATGTGCATAACCGCCTTCCCGGAATGTTCCTGTAAGGCTTTAAAGTCTAAACTCTCACAGTATCATGTGAGATGTATAATGTGTTGTTCTCTTCAGCCTCCAGAGAGCTCAGTTCATATTCCACATAATCTGTCTGTATTCAAGAGCTTTCACTTGCTGCTGCTTTGCTGCTGATGGGCTGTTAAAACACACAAACACACACACGTGTTTCAGCTTCTCAATACGGAGATCTCTGAAAGCTCTTGTATTCAGTTTTAATTGAATGAGGCAAAATTAAACTTAGTTTAATATTCAGAAACATCTGGAAAATTGCTTTTTTTTTTCTTTTTTCCTCCCCTGAAGTGAGAGAATTTTTAGATTTTTAGTCTAAACCTAAAATCTGCTGTTGCAGTTGATGCATCCCTTCTGGGGAACTTCTGTAAGGATGTGTTAGATATATAAAAAGCATTTTCTGCAGACATCATCACCTGTTTTGAAATGAACTGGATAGTATCTCCCCTTTTTTTTCCCAAATGTACAAAAAAATCTTATTTTTTCTTTCCCTCTAATGGCTTGTGATTGCTGCCTGCGTAAGAGGCTTTAATGGCTCAGAGAAAGGACACGGGTACTGTCCACCCAGCTTTTTGTGTAGAGCTCTTGGCAGCATCAGGGAGCCTTAATTACAGAAAGATCATAAATTCCATCTTCGATCTCCATTCCATAGGTTGAGTAAAGCAAGAGAGAAAGTACATGGCATAGATTTTTCTGGGAATAAAGAGAAGTGACTTTTCAATTATTTACTAGCATACTAGTTATAAAAGCAGCATTTTCTAAAAGATAAATTGTTATGTTTAATGCAGATTTCTGGTGTTAGAGAAATTTAGGGTCTACCATTATGGCCTACCATAATCTAGGCTTTTATTGCTTATGAGAGTCATATCTTTAGGTGTCTGTTTAATTCATTATTTAATGCAGAATTTCTGTCTGTATCTATCAGGTTGATATGACTGCATTACTAAATGCAGTCTAAATTACTAAATTACTGAATTTCTTCCAGAAAGAATTTAGACCAACTTGCATGTATACATCTCCCTCACATTAAATACATTTTTAATGCTCTGATATACAGAGCGATTTCAGTTATTCGGTAGCAATGCTTTTTATTTTTGTATTTAAACTCAAGTAATAAAAAAAAAAAACTAGCAAAAATTAAGACCTCCAAATATTTTGCTCACATACCATGTTAAGTGATTCCATATCCATGGCTGCCTAGAAGTCTCCCTGTTATCAAGTATCTTAGCGGCTCTTCAGAGTGTGCTTGTCATCACAAGGCAGCACAAGTGTCCATCAGCCGCTTGGGGCTTTGCTATTTCAACTCTGTCTTTCACAAAGGAGACCTAGGACAGTGGTTGCTTTAATCAGCTTGTATGAGATGCTGCTGCTGATGCTCAGCCCCAGTAAAAGCGCTCTCATGCGTGCACACTTACTTGTGTTTCTACAATCTGATTATCCTCATGTTACTGCACGTCAGTCTTCCCGGTGCATCCTTCATGTGAAGGGAGGCTGCTGATACGCAGCT